AGCTGCATCCAGCAAAATTTGTATTGCTACCGTGCGAATGAAGATCGCACTTATCTAAGTCGTATTCTCGACGAGCTTCGTGTCGCGCATCATGCACTTTTGTTCCTGGGCGAGACGACTCATTTCATTTCGATAGTCGGGCACATCAAACCACTTAGCGCCGCTGTGAATTTCATGCCCATTCAAGAGGATGCGGTCGATGCACAGCCCGTCTTTATCCCCGTGTGTGAGGCGAAGTGTGACCGGCGCAAAAGCCAACGTGCCTGAATATCCTTTTGAAAAAAAGCATCCAAAGCTGCATAGAGCTGGAGTTTTATAGTGTCGGCTTCTCTACGATTACGCAAAAGCCAGTAATTTTTGTGGTCGGCACATGACAAGCTTCGGCGCAGCTGCGGAGTGTACTCCAAAATCTAGCTGGTACCCAGGACACATCACCAGTACTTATCTATCTTCTCTAGTACACATCACATCACCTGGCACCTAGGAAGGACGCATCACCAGTAAGCTGTCTTATCTATCGTCCCTAGCGCATGATACACAATTCTTGAAAACCAATGATGTTTTTTCGCGGGATACCGAACTCGGAAAATATCTAGTCACACCCCCCGAGGCTAATAGCATCTCTATTGAAGCGGTTTGGCCGTCTTCTGCGGTTGCCTGAGCCCTCAGTGCTGTATCGCGGTGGAAAAGAACTGCTTCCGGGGACTTGCTTCATTTTCGCCCGAACAAACCCATAGCAAACTTGTTTTACAAACGAAGGGCATGCACAATACCAGAAACTGCAAAAAAAAAAGATCTGCCATAAAGTCTGCGAACGGTTAGGAAAGCTACTCATAAACAATACACTACGGCTTTGGCCGTGCCAATATGATCACCAGAACGACAAATGTGCTCCGACGCGGCAGTCTTTCCAGGAGAACAAACATGCAGCAGTAACCAGAAGCATAGTTGCTCTTTGCTCTCCTACTTTGCGCCGGATCCCGAATGATTGACCGTGCAGCTATGGAAAGTGAACTTAGCAGGCGCGTCGTTCCACGGTCGCCAAAGGACAAAAGCCGCGGTCCCGGTAGCTGGACTCAGGCGGACAGCACTGAGGCGAGTACCGCGATGGCGCAGTCCGATCACCAGCTTGCTGGTCCCTTGCGGCAAGTTGGCCACGTCGGTCACCTTCCGTTCCGAAAATGTGTACGACGTGCCGGCGCCCCAGTTGCCGAAGTTCAGAAACACATTTCCAGACGGGTCTTCCACTTTGACACAGAAACTGTTGTCGGACTTAGCTTGCTGGCCGTGTTCACCACTGCGCCTCGTCGTGCCGTACAAGCCGAAAGAAGCAGTGGCATGTGAATTGCGGTGCTGGGTGCCATATGAATTGCAAATGTGTCTGGGTCTGGGAGATTGGGATAATTGCGAGATTTGTCATGCTAGTCTGGCACGAGTCCGAACTCTGTACTGAGTGGCCGCGAAGAGGAGCTCCTCTTGGCTGTCATGCAAAAACGCAGTTTCTTATGCGGAGTACGCAACCCTGAACCACGGAAAAACTTGTCATGCTGGGGACCGACCCCGCATTACAGTGTGCTCAGTATTCCCTTCCTTGCATCACAGGTTTCCAGACCCAGACACTTTTGCATTTGATATGCCATTGCTACGACCACCCTGAAGTGCCGGACTATCTGGATGAGGAAGCTCCGTATGGGTGTGTCAGGATCAAAATCGTCAAAGTTGGAATAGTTTGCCATGCATAAAATGCAACGCAGACGTTGCCTCTGTTGCAGAGGACGCAAGGGAGGCAGATTGTAGTGCTGGTAAGGGTCGTCGAGAATGGGGCTGGTGATTAGCATCACAGAGGGGAGCGGCCCCTTGGCCCTAAACAGCATGACAAACTGGCTTCCGGTTGTACGGACAAAATTTGTCATGCATCGACTAGAAACTGCGGGCCCAACTGGTCTCGATTTCATGCATTTTTACAAGTTATTTCAACTTTGTCGACTTCAATCCTGACACTTCCATACTCCGGAAGTTTGCTTGTGTTGTGCGAAGCCTGGGGAGAAGTTATCAAGAACAAAAATCCCCCCTCCCCATATCATTATCAAAACGGAAATCTGTGATGCAGATTTGGGGTCACAAATCAGCTTTGTGATGCTAGAAGGCAAAAGATGCGGACTGTAGTGCTGTCTAGCGTGGGAAAGCCTTGCAGCTCCAGGATGACACGAGGCAACTGGAATGGGGAAACAGCATGACAGATTGCCTGCAATTTAGGCCGCAGCTTCGTCTCTTGCCCTTCTAGCAATACAAGTCGATTTGTGTACTCAAATACAGCATCACAAATTCGCGCATCTCCCGTTTCCGATATGGGGAGGGGGAATTTTTCCTTTCGATATGCTGCCCCTGTTCACCACTGCACCTCGTCGTTCCGTACAAGCCGAAAGAAGCAGTGTATCGAAAGGAAAAATCCCCCCTCCCCATATTCAAACAGGAAATTTGTGATGCTGATTTGTGACCACAAATCATGTTGTCATGCTAGAAGGGAAAAGACGCAGACTGTAGTGCTGGCTGGCGTAAGAAGGCCTTGCATCTTCAGCATGACAGGAGGCAACTGGAAGTGGGAAACAGCATGACAAATTGCCTGCAATTCAGGCCGCAAGTGCGTCCCTTGGCCTTCTAGCAACACAAGCCGATTTGGGGAAGCAAATCCAGCATCACAAATTTCCTGTTCGATATGGGGAGGGGGGATTTTTCCTCTTGATACAGTGGCGGTCGTGACGGAAATGCGAAAAGTGGCCGTGCTGCCGGTGTCGAAGGCACAGTCTTTATCTGGTCTGTCGTACCAATTTTCACTATTTGGCCCGTT